CGTTCTGTGCTGGACATGTTTGGAAAGCTTTGAGCTGATTCTGGTTGATCATCAGGTTGTTGCTGCAACTTTAAAGTTGATCCACCTGACAAAAAAAAAAAAAGAGTACATGGAGAGGTTCATTTATGCCTAACTGTCCCACTGACTTCCAACTCGGTATATTAGGACATCCTGTTTTGACATTTCAAATGAGATGTTTGACAAATGGACTGTTCGCTCTTTTACTTTCTGCAAATCGCAAACGCATAATTTATTTGGGTGCAAATAATAATGCTACACGAAGTTGTTAGTTTTTAGAAAAGCCACAAATAAGCTGACATTCAATGATAAAATAAAAATAATAATCAGGTTAGAGCTTTTATGCACTGCCAAGCTCCAGATTTTTATTACTTGATATAATTTGAAGTATTTGCATGATTTGTTGTTTAAAGCCATCTTTCTTTAAAATTTATTAGAGATTAAAAAAAGCATGAAAAGAAAACAGTGCAATAACTTTTGCTTTTGTGCATTGCCTATAATGGTTGTGGGTAAGTTCAGAGTGTGGATCTGTTAATAATTAACGTCTCCTAAAAGTTTAAAATCCCTAACTGAACTTCTTTTATAGAAGAATCAATGAGAGATTTTCAGTTTGATTACAAATAACAAAAACACGCGTGGCTGTGCTCAGATCGGATCAAAAATCTCAGAGTGGACGACGCAAATTAACATTAATGAAGGCTGAAAATCATCCTTTATGTTGCGTTACGTTTCTCTACAGTACATTTATTTAGTCCTGTAAATCTTTTAATGTTTGCAAAATAAAAAAATCACAGTATTTTCTGCTGACAATAAGTGTTTTACTCTGGAAATGCGTGTTGCTGAATAATTTATAAACTGCAATAACAGTGTAAAAAGGCATGTTTTTTTTCCAACTTCAGCTAAATTTTGACTATTGAATCTAATTAGCAGAGATGAAGTCAAATTAAAGTTCAAATCCAAAAGCTTTTCTGATATAACTTTTATTTTATTCAGCCTGCCACAAGAATGAACGTCTTATTTAATGCGGAGGCACAAATAAAGTTAAATAATCATTTCATTATTAAGAAGAGATTCTTCAAATAGTTACAAGCCTTTTGGTTTTGGCAGCAGTCTTTAATATTTCCCTCTCTTCCATGCATTTCTAAAATCTAAAAAGATCAGTCTTATTAAGCATAACCTTTAAGTAGTCCTGCATGCATCCGCTCAGCTTACCTGCAAGGAGGAGCAGAAAAGAGACTTCTGCAAACATTGCTGTGGGATCAGTGAGCGTTTCTCAGCTCTGGTCTGTGTGCAGATGGTGTCTCTGGTACTCATGATGTCACTGCCCTGCCTTTACTGGAAGGGGTTTGGCAGAAAAACATGTAATATCGTCTTAAGTATTGGCTCAACAGTTTCTGCTCTCACATCCTTCCAAAGATCGTTGCTAGAAGAGCATAAATAGTTTTGCCGTAGCACTTTTTAAAGTCGTAAACGTTGATTCAAAACCAACATAGTACGGTGGCTCTAAGGTGTAAATGAATCACATTTGAAAAAACAGAATTACATTTGACAAAGCATAACAAAAACACAAACAACATTTGAAAAAAACCGGATTGGTGTTTTTTTGTGTGTGTATTTTAAAAAAAAAAATCTTTTTGTACTTTATTAACAACATAAAACATAACAATGTACAGTACACACCACTTCCAGATTGGTTTAATGTAATTCTGTTTTTTCAAATGTTATTCTTTTACACCTTAGGGTCACCGTAATATAGTGAATATGTCAATAAAATTAATGGAGAACAGGAACCGCCATTTTTATTTATCAAAGAAATAAATGGTTTTAACTTTGAGGTTTGCCTCAAGAGCCAAACAAAATCTCCATATATTTGTGATTAAGAATATGTCTTCTGTTATAAATTCATATCAATCCACTTCTACTTACTGTATATCAGGGTCTCAACTTAAAAATCAAAGTCTAATCCACATTGAGTGTTTTAACTGTTGACGTTAGACGACAGAACGGAGCGCATTAGTTTTGGTAGTTGGATGAACATCAACAGTAAGTGCATCTAGAAAACCCCGAGCGTCATTAAAAGCAGGATGTGGAAAGTTAAAGCTTTTAGAGGAGCACATTCTTATTGGTTAGCAGAGCAACGCATCAGAAACAAAATCAGCTTCGTAAAAAACAAACACGGTCGGAGCAGCAGAGATGGAAGACGCTCTTTATTAAACGTTCAACAAAATCAGACAATCTTTTCTTATCATTTGTAAATTTATTTGCACGACATCTACACTGGTAGGTTTTATTTGTTTAGGGTTGTGCTTATTAAATGTGCAATGCAGATGATTTACAAAATTAACTCAAAGGATCACAAACGCACACCTCTCTGCACACGGAGATAATTACACCTCTGTGGGAAACATTTGTCATCTTCAAGTTACAATCTCACTGAATCTCACTCACCGTCCTCCAAGGGAGAATAATACAAGTCCATCCATAATCTTTACCCGCTTTTGCGTTGCAGAGGTCACTGGTGCCCATGTCCAGCTATCACTGAGCGAGAGGCAGGGGACACCCTGGACTGGTCTCCAGTCCATCACAGGGACACATAAAGACAAACAACTATTCACTCTCTCACTCACACCTAGGGACAATTTAGAGTTACCAATCAGCCTAACATGCTTGTTTTTGGTCTGTGGGAGGAAACCGGAGTACCCGGACAAAACCCACGCATGCATGGAGAGAACATGCAAACTCCACCCACGCATGCACAGAGAGAACATACAAACTCCACCCAGAAAGGCCCCTGGACCGGGGTTTGAACCAAGGACCTGCTCGCTGAGAGGCAGCAGCTCTACCAGTTGCGCCACCGTGCTGCCCAATAATACGAGTCAAGCAAGTTTAATGAAGATTATTTTACCACAAAGTTTTTAACATACTGATGCCTGCACTGAAATCACACATAGTACTGGACTACTGCTACTATTATACAACTACTTTTTTCTTCCTGTGGCTGCTCCTTTCTTCAGGGGTCGCCACGGCGATCTTACTCGCACGATGAATTGGCATTTTTACTCCAAATGCCCTTCCTGACGCAACCAAAGATCACCGAGCTACCACAGCCCTCTGTGTGGAGCAGAGAGCTTCTATTTAGGACACCCGGGGGAGCAGATGGTGGGGGTTAAGGGTCTTCCTCAAGGGCCCAGAGTAGGGAAGATGAGGATGGAGGCAGGTGTGGGGCTTCACCATTCCCACCCACATTTTGATGTTGTCCGTTTGGGGAGTTCAACCAGCAACCTTCCAATCACAGGCTCTCTGCACCATCACTACCTTTACTAATATACAATTACTGTGTATGTTATATATATATATATTTTACTATGTGGTGCCAAAACATCCATCCATTATCTTTATCAGCTTCTTCCTTTTAGGTTCACGGGGGTCACTGGTGCATATACAACTATCACTGCAAGTTGATGCAAACACTAATTTAATAATAATTTTTTTACCATTTTATTTTTACGTTGCAACCGCCCACATGTTTCATTTATTATTTTTTAAATATATTTGGTTATCATTTAAATCTCGTAAAATGTTATCTTTTCAATATTATTTCATGCAGTCTCATTGTAACGAGTGCACGAGAGTAACCAAGTAAACTGTGTTTCTGAGAGCGGACTTCCTTTTTGAACCACAAGTTGTGAAACAGTCTGCAGTGCAAAGAATCTCCTCAGTTTAAGAAGCAAAATGAAGAAATATGCCGTAACTGAAAAGATGGAGACTTTGCAGATCTCTTCTGATCTTTTCTGATAAATTTATTCTTTCTCTCGTGTTAAGTTTCTCTAATAAAAGCAACATTTTCAGTTTTCTAAAGCTATTGATGTTTTTTAATCATGATCAATCGTTAATCAGGGTTTTAATCCAGTTGAAGCCTAGAAAAAGTTTTTAAATCTGATGTAACTTTAATCCTAATCATGTGAGGAATTAAATAAAATCATTTTAAACTTGTTGCCACTTTTAAAGCTGCATTACTCGTGCAGAAAACACTGAATACGTTGTGTAAAGTTGCTGAAACCCTCAGAGGTTCCCATAAACTGTGTGTTGGTAAAATAAAACTGTTGATCTACCAGGTTGAAACACCTTAGAGGTTTATGAACATAAAATAGCTTTAAGTTGCATTTATTCTTTATCATGATGAACATGGAGCACATTACATGTTTTTCTAATCAAATAAGCAAAATAAAGAATTACACTCAAATGCACAGTTAAAAATAAAACAATGTAATTTGGTTTAAAGCTTCCTGCGACTACTTACACAACTTTAAAAAACTTTAATTGAGTAATGACTTGCAAATGTGCTGTTTATGAACGATTTATTTAATGTTCAGGGCTATCCAAGTGGTGGCATCTGTGCACAAGTTTCAGATATGTTGTCGGTATTTGCAGCCATTCTTTACTTTAGATGTTTTGCACAAAAAAAACAATCAGAGATTAAACAAGGTTTTTTTTGAGAATTGTGAAATTATTTTTCAAACATAGTTTCATGCCGGTCGGCTCATCAGAGTTTTCTTGGTGACAACACAACTGAAAAATGGTGTCAAATGAAAGCACACATTTCATGGAGTTAAATAAAACAACTCAACGTATTTCACAATTCTACACGTTTTTAATCGAAGAGGCTGCACAGTTCACATCCGTGACAAACCCGACCCCTTTTTCTTGGTAAGCTGCCATCTTTGATGTTGTCAGGCTGAAAATAATCAAATGCAGAACAACAACAAAAAAACATTTATCAAGAGCAAACTGTATAAGTTGTACAAGTAGTGGACGTCTAGAGCAGGGGTCTGCACCTTTACGATCAAAAGAGCCATTTCTACCCCGTTGTTCACTAAATTAAGTGTCTGGAGCCGCAACAATCTGGTACGGCTGTCATCATCAACTGGTGGCCCGTGGACCACTTTAAGTTTGTTGGAGGGGCTTTTATGGCCAGTTGGGGTGACGTTATAAAAGTAAAACACATCAAATGGTTTTTAACATTTCAATTTTCGTAAGACAGAAGAAAAGACTGGCTTATTGTAAAGAAAGAAAAGAAAAATATAGATTTGAACTGTTTTGTAAAATTTTAAACAATGAACTATGCAGGTCTATGATTTATTTATTTTTTTTAATTGAATAAAGTATCTTACTTTGAAGAGATAAAGCATAAAGTGAGTATGCTTTACTCTTCGTATTGTTCTACTATTCACATATGTGCAAAAAAAAAAAAAGACTGTTTAAACAACCGTTTTTTTAATTTTAGTATAACAACCAATAAAATTCAGTTTGATCTTTGTTTTGGTCAAAGCTTGAAAGATCCACTGTAGAGGGACCAAAGAGCTGCACGTGGCTCCAGAGCCGTAGGTTGCAGACCCCTGGTCTACAGAATGTGACCGACATACGAACAAGCAGAATAAATTGTGATCGTGTGGCAGCATTAATTCTCTATGAGTATGTTACACGTTTAAAACATTCTGGTTCACATGTGTTAGCTGACTTCTTAAAATAGCCAGATTCTCTATGTTTGAGCACATAATGCTTCAACAATTGTACATTTACAAGAGGACCAGGTGTTAATGAATAAGGCAGATATATTAAATTGTTTCTATTCTGTCCAAAGAGCTTCTGGGGACTTTTTAATCACCTGGGGAAGTTTTGGAACATAAAGTGCTGATCGGACTTTGGCCAGCCACTTTTTCCCTACAGCTAACAGCAAGGTATTCTGTTTTGTAGCCTTCCTTCATCAAGGTCTTTGAATCATTCTGAACCCTCCCCTAAAGCCAACTTGATATGCAAGGCTCTATTAAGATATCCCTCAGGATTGTGGGAGTAATTAAAACCTGCACCACATTATTCTGCATATAATATTTGGACATGTCACTTTCCTGGATGGATGGATGGATGGATGGATGGATGGATGGATGGATGGATGGATGGACAGGACCATTGATTATCTTATTGATCATGTTTTTGGCATTAATAAAATTAATTGTGTGAACAGTAGTCCCTCGCTACTTCGTGGTTCGTTTATCGCGGACTCGCTCTAACGTGGTTTTTCAAAATAAGATTGGCCATGACACACAACTGGCTGAATGATGGACGAGCCGCACGATTGGCATGGGATTTTTATTTACAATGAATTATTTTGAATTATTTAGCACCTCCTGCAGCTTTGTACAGCCCATAATACTGCAGGATAAACTTCCTGCTGCAGCTGATCAGCTGTTCTCCGTGCAGAGCGGAGAAGTGGGTGTGGCCAAGAGCGCTTGCAGGTGGCAAAGAGCAGATGAGGCTGAGAGCTTAAATCATGACATTCTGTGCTCTTTTATAGCGTTTAGAGTTTAGAAACATTGTTTGGATTAGAATATTGCAAGAGTGTGGGAAGTGTTTAAAACG